TCTGGTTTTGTTTGTTTGTTTTCGTGCTCCCTGGTACTGCCCCTGCGGGCACAGTGAGGCTTTGCTGAAGCATTGCCACCCCAGGAGCGGGGCTGGGTTACTCTACAGCCAGATTCCCGTGGTTGTCATGGCAACGGCTCGGTGTGCAGCCTGCTGCCTCGTCAGGTTCACGCCAGCCTGGCCCACGCGGCGCTCTTCCCCGTTAACAGGGGCCCCAGCAGCCAGATGATTTTTCCAAAGTTAACTTTTAGGCATACCATGGCAGAATACTGAGTGTGCAGAATTCCTGCTGGAAACGGCCTGCGTGCCAGGGCGGTAGCCAGCACCTTGACATGTGACGCCCGGTGGCTGTGGCTGCCAGCTCTGCACCACGGAACACCCAGGACACCAAACCCAAGCAGGTGCCCAGAGCTTGCCAGATCCCTGCACACACAGCCCTGGACCAGGACGACCACGGGACCCCAGCGTCACTGCGTCCTGCTGCCTGACCGTCCACGGCCCCTTGCCTCTGTCCCCTTGAGAATAGGAATTAAGAAAATGACGATAGGAGCAGTGTTCCTCCCTCCCAGGAGGTGAGTGGTCACCCAGGAGGTGTGGCCAGGGCTCAGCGTTGTCGTGAGAGCAGTGAGGACAAGACGCCTGCCGAGAGGGAGCTCCACGCTGGACACCGTCGGTCAGCAGCCCCTGCGGCTTGAGCACCGAGGGCAGCGGGCAGCGGGGCAGCAGGCCCGGACCCCGAGACCGCGTCACGGGGCCAGTGCTCCCGGCAGCGAGGCCCCGCCTGCGTGCCTTCAGGAACACGGCAGCTCCCATCTTGGAGGCGGTGACAGTTACGTAACAGGCTGCAGCCGTGCAGCTGAGCGGAGCCAAAGGTGGGGGGGCGCCTCAGAAGGCGCCTTAGTGCCGAGGGAGGGGTGTGATGGAGGAGGAGGTGGCGGGAGCTGCGTCTTCACCAAGCCCCGGCCCCGGAGACGCCCGCCCGCCCTGTGCCTCGCACGCAGCCAGAAAAACGCCTCCTGACCTTGGCCGTGAGGCCGGCTGGGGGCGAGGAAAGTCTGCCTTGCATTTGCCATATTGCCAGTGTCTTCTTACTCCTAGGAGTGTTTTCACACCGAAGGTGAGATTGCGTCAGTCTCCAAATGACAGGAACTTGGCTTAGTCTCTGGAATTATGCATTTCCCTCTGTAGAAGACTCCGCGTGCGGTGCTGCCGAGGCGTCGCCTTCCTGTGCCGCGCTGCAGGCTTAGCCGTGCTGCCCGATGCTCCGGCACGTGGCGCCCGCGGGAGAGCCTGACACGGCTGTTGGAGGGTGGCTTCTGGGGCGGGCTGCTGTCCCGAGGTGGGCAAGGCTGGTCTGTGAGCGCTCGCCCCGCGTTCGTGTGCCAGCCATTGAAACACTCAGCTGCGCTCTCGGAGTGGCACGGTGCCTCCCCCGGGGCAGCTCTCTGCTGTGTGGTCCTTGTGGAGATGACGAGCTGGGGTCTTCAGGTCCAGGGTGGGGAGCATGCCGGCCACCAGCCAGACCCTGCCGAAAGCCTGGCCCGTCTCAGCACGGGAACCCGCCGCTGGTCTCAGCAGAGCGGTGTGGATGAGTTCCTGACAGTGAGTGGGGCCAGGAAAGCCTTGTGGGACTGAGATCCAGAATCCTCCTCTGGGAAGATCTGATATTTACCAGTGAGAGCTAAACCTGGAGTGAGTATTTTTATTACTCCCTGTCAGTGCCACTTGGTGGCCGGCGGCAGCTGGTAGCAGGCAGAAGCTGCACCTGGCTGTGATGAAGAGGCAGGAGAGAGGGAGAGATGAGACGTGGCTGTCAGCGGCTTTCCCAGAGGTCAGTGTCCACGGCAGAAGCCCCGCGAGAGAGAACACGGGAACCAGGACAGGAAGTGGCTGCAGAGCCAACACGAGAAACTGCTCAGCCCTGGCGGCCAGCGCTCTCCACCTAGAGCGTGGTGCCGTGGGAAAAACGGCCATGCCGGCACGCGGCCGTCCGGTCCCGCACTCAGACACGGCGCGTGGGGAAAGCACCGTGAAGCGGGCACGCGGCGCACACGGGGGAACAGGACCGTCTGCAGGTGTGACATCAATGGGGCGAGAAGGCAGCGGGATCGGAAGGAGGCTTTTCCCTCCAGAACTGCACACCCCGCCGGACGCCCAGTCCCCGGCCAGACGCCCAGCCCCCGGCCAGACGTCCAGTCCCCGGCCAGACGTCCAGCCCCCGGCCAGATGTCCAGTCCCCAGCCAGACGTCCAGCCCCCGGCCAGACGTCCAGCCCCCAGCCGGACGCCCAGTCCCCGGCCAGATGCCCAGCCCCCAGCCGGACGCCCAGTCCCCGGCCAGACGTCCAGCCCCCAGCCGGACGCCCAGCCCCCAGCCGGACGCCCAGTCCCCGGCCGGACGCCCAGTCCCCGGCCAGACGTCCAGTCCCCAGCCAGACGTCCAGCCCCCGGCCAGACGTCCAGTCCCCAGCCGACGCCCAGTCCCCGGCCAGACGTCCTGCCCCCAGCCGGACACCCAGTCCCCAGCCGGACGCCCAGTCCCCGGCCAGACGTCCTGCCCCCAGCCGGACGCCCAGTCCCCAGCCGGACACCCAGTCCCCAGCCAGATTTCCAGTCCCCAGCCATACACCCAGTCCCCAGCCAGACACCCAGTCCCCAGCCAGACGTCCAGTCCCCAGCCAGACACCCAGTCCCCAGCCAGACGTCCAGTCCCCAGCCGGACGCCCAGTCCCCGGCCGGACACCCAGTCCCCAGCCAGACGTCCAGTCCCCAGCCGGACGCCCAGTCCCCAGCCAGACGCCCAGCCCCCGGCCAGACGTCCAGTCCCCAGCCGGACGCCCAGTCCCCAGCCGGACGTCCAGCCCCCAGCCGGACGCCCAGTCCCCAGCCGGACGTCCAGCCCCCAGCCGGACGCCCAGCCCCCAGCCGGACGCCCAGTCCCCGGCCGGACACCCAGTCCCCAGCCGGACGTCCAGTCCCCGGCCGGACACCCAGTCCCCGGCCAGACGTCCAGTCCCCGGCCAGACGTCCAGTCCCCAGCCAGACGTCCAGCCCCCAGCCGGACGTCCAGTCCCCGGCCGGACATCCAGTCCCCAGCCGACGTCCAGTACCTGGCCAGATGTCCAGTCCCCAGCCGGACACCCAGCCCCCAGCCAGACGTCCAGTCCCCAGCCGGACACCCAGCCCCCAGCCAGACGCCCAGTCCCCAGCCGGACACCCAGTCCCCAGCCGGACGCCCAGTCCGCCGTGAGGACAGGACGAAGGCTTCTAAATCTGCAAGACCTCAACATTTTGCTCTTGTGAACCCACTCCTAGGAGAGAGCTAGAGTAAGTACTCGGTGAGATGAGGAAGCAAACCGAAAGGGAGGAAGAGGAGCGGCGTTACGGCGCAGTAGGCTGAGCCCTGCTCCGGAAGCCCACGGCCCAGATCAGAGTGCGAGTTCAAGTCCAGGTCCCGCCGGCTCCGCTTCTGACCCAGCCCTGCAGGCGTGGGGCACGTCCTGCCTGCTGGCCATGTAAGGCCCTTGGAGTCACTGGGTCTGGCCCTGCCAAGGAGACCCCGGGTGGGACTCAAAGTTCAATACATCTATAGTGAGCCAACGTTAAGTTTATAATTGTGTATATTATATCCAGAAGGTTTTCTGCCTCCCGTGTACACGACCTGGAAGGCAGCGGGTGATGGCTCAAGTGCTTGGGTGCCTGACACCCATGTGGGAGACCAGGATGGAGCCTCCTGGCTCCTGGCTTCAGCCTGCTGTTTCTGGCATGGGGCAGGGGGGAACCAGTGGATAGAGGATCTTTCTGTCTCTCTCTCCATCTCCGTCTCTGCCTTTCAAGTAGATGGAAATAAATAAATAAAAATTAAACGGAAAAAGATATGGAGAAACAGAACTCAGGAGACAGGGAACCAGCTGGAAAACAGCCGGGAGACTCCCAAGTGGTGTGCAAAACGGGCCCGGCCACTGTGGAGCTCATAGTCCCGTGTGAATGCCGTCTGGAAGATCATATTCGAGTAAGTACACACACACGCAGTCATAGTTAAGGTAGAATATTCGGGAAAATGTTTGAAAAAATAGAAGTGCATAGGAAGCCAAGCAAAGTAAAAAAGGGACTATTTACAGAAAAGGTGATGCATGGAGAAGTAGGAGTCCTTGGCTTAGTAGTGAGCAGTTTTGTTATTATAATAAAGCGAGGAAAAGGGAATGCAGTAGGCAGTGTAAAATAGCGACTCAGTGACAGCAGGAAGTTAATAAATGGCATAAAGAATTGGTAATACTAGCATCTTATCCGGGTCTTAAGAAGCTGAAAGTATTGGAAGTGCCTCCGGCTACCGTTTTCTATGCTTTACTGAGCAGTGTTATGTGAACGTGAGTTTGAGTGCTCTGGCAACGATGATTCGTCGAGGGCTAAATGACAGTCGGTGGAAGATCAAGCCTGCAGCACCCACCGGGCGTTTGCCACCGCAGGCGTTACCAGCTTGGCGCGGGGTAGCTTAGTCAAGGTCTTGATCAGGTAGATCTAAGGCTCTTGTTTTAAGATTTATTTATTTATTTGAAAGAGTTACAGAGAAAAGGAGAGAGAGCATGAGCTTCCATCCTCTGGTTCACTCCCACATGGCTGCAACAGCGGGGCTGGGCCAGGCTGAAGCCAGCAGCTTCTCCCAGGTCTCCCACATGGGTGGCAGGGGTCCAAGCACTTGGGCCTTCCTCAGCTGCTTTCCCCCACGCACGTTAGCAAGGAGCTGATGGGAAGTGGAGCAGCGAGGACATGATGGCGCCCATGTGGGATGCTGGCATTGCACGCGGCTGCTTCGCCCGCTACGCCACGGCGCCGACCCCTAGGCTGTGTCTTGAGTTCCTGGTCGCAGGGTGTCCTCCCTGCCTGTCTCAGGACTAGGCTGTCTCCTGCCACTCCTACCAAGTTTCAGATGAGGTTGTAAACCGAGCAAGGGCGGGTACCTCATGGCAGGGAGGGAGGGAGGGAGGGAGGAGAAAGTCCCACCTTGTTGCAGAGACCAGTCCAGGACGTTCTGTCTGTGACATCGACTACAGCTCCCCTCCTCCAGCTCTGAAGCTGGCCTGCTGTGACCCCCGGGGGCTCTCTCACCCCTGCCCCTGCTCTGAGCTGGCCTTGGGATGAGGGACCACGGGTTCCGGGGGGCTCTCTCACCCCTGCCCCTGCTCTGAGCTGGCCTTGGGATGAGGGACTGCAGGTTCCGGGGGCTCTCTCACCCCTGCCCCTGCTCTGAGCTGGCCTTGGGGTGAGGGACCACAGATTCTGGGGGGCTCTCTCACCCCTGCCCCTGCTCTGAGCTGGCCTTGGGATGAGGGACCACAGGTTCCGGGGGCTCTCTCACCCCTGCCGCTGCTCTGAGCTGGCCTTGGGGTGAGGGACGGCAGGTTCCGGGGGCTCTCTCACCCCTTTCCCTGCTCTGAGCTGGCCTTGGGGTGAGGGACCACGGGTTCCGGGGGGCTCTCCCACCCCTGCCCCTGCTCTGAGCTGGCCTTGGGGTGAGGGACGGCAGGTTCCGGGGGCTCTCTCACCCCTGCCCCTGCTCTGAGCTGGCCTTGGGATGAGGGACTGCAGGTTCCGGGGGCTCTCTCACCCCTGCCCCTGCTCTGAGCTGGCCTTGGGGTGAGGGACCACAGATTCTGGGGGGCTCTCTCACCCCTGCCGCTGCTCTGAGCTGGCCTTGGGGTGAGGGACGGCAGGTTCCGGGGGGCTCTCTCACCCCTGCCACTGCTCTGAGCTGGCCTTGGGGTGAGGGACCGCAGGTTCCGGGGGGCTCTCTCACCCCTTTCCCTGCTCTGAGCTGGCCTTGGGATGAGGGACTGCAGGTTCCCGGCTGGCGTTCCCTCCCTCCCCACCCTGCACCCAGGGAGCGTGCTTTCCACGCGGCACCACTGTTCTCTCTGCCTTACTTTAAGTGGGGGGCCTACTGCAGACCAGGTGAGCCCAGGTCTGGTCCTAGCTGGACCCCAGGGCGTCGCGGTGTTCCTGAGTCCTGCCCTTCTCTGCCCTGCCTGTGGGCCAGCGCAGTCCCTTCTCCACCCTGCCTGAGGCCAGCGGGGTCTGAGAGCAGTGGCTGTAAAGAAAAGAGCTGCCCCACTCCTGCATGCAGGTGTGCAGGGCGGAGGGCGGCCGCGAGCTGGGACCGTGCTGCCCTGTCCTGCCGCGCAGAGGGCCCGCCACGCGAAAGCTCCCTCTCGGGGAGACCCCTGCGCAGCCAGGTGCTTGTCCCCAGCTCCGGAAGCGTTTTTCTTAGAAAAGAGTAATCTTTCATGTCTTGCACAGTGAGTCACCTTTAAAAATCTTGTTTGTTGCAGAAGTAAGTGTGTGCCTGCAAAAAATCAAGATAGTGCAGAAGTGTCTTTCCAAAGAGCCACCCTCCCCTGATCTGTCCACGGAGGGAGCGGGTGGAGTGCGTGGGTGTGTGGGACGGGCACAGCCCGTGTGCGCCGCGTGTCCGTGCGTCTCCCCTCCAGAAGCCGCCGTTGGGTGGGAACAGGCCCGTCTTCCCAGCGCTGCCCCACTCCCCAGCCAGGCCCCGCTGGCCGGCAGGACGTTCTCGAGGCTGTGGGTGCCGGTGCTCTGCTGCGTAGCTCCCAGTAAAGCACGTGGTGCACACTCTAGAATCTCCATCCACTTGGCAACTCATCAAAACCGTGCCTCACGGGGCTCTGATTTATAAAATGGGAATGAAATTGTTCCGAGAACGTTCCTACAAGGGAGAAACACAGCGAGATAATGCAATCCACTTACTGTCTCATCGTAACGACAGCTAGCTTGATCGAGCATTACTCGAAGCCAGACACTGTGTGGATAAACAAACACCACGTTGTTCTATGCTAAAGCTCCCAACTTATTTTTTAATGTCTGTGCGCCATCATCGTTATTAAAATGACATTAGCTATTCCTAAGCATTTGCTCCTCCAGGTAAATTTTAAAATCAGCTTTCCACCTACCTCCCATCAATATAGCAAGCTGCAAAAAAAAAAGTTAAGTTGGATTTTGGAAGGTTGTTGTTTCTTTTTAAGGAATCCGCTTTGAAGGTTGCCAGAGCAGGAGGCCCTCACCTGAGTCGGGGAACTGGGCGCTCTGTCGGTGTCCTCCCGAGGCCGCCTGACCGGCAGCTTGGCCCCCTGTGACACGCGGGCTGAGCCCGGGGGAGGGGCACCGGGCCAGCGCTGGCGCTCGGTGTCTGACAGGTGTGCCGGCTGCTGAGGCAGGTGTGTGTGGCTCCCCTTCTGGTCCCTGTCCTCAGCACCGGTTCCAGGGCGCCTCTGAGAGGACCCTCGGTGAGAAGTTTTTGGGTGCAAGCAGGCAGCGCGGGGCTGAGGGCCCCTAGGTGCTGTGCAAGGTGGGCTGCAGTGTGTGGCCGGTGAAGGGGAGGCGGGGAAACACGGACTGTCCCCTTCCCCGGCTCCAGCCAGCAGCCGCCGGTGACTGCCTGCTGCAGGACCGCTGACCTCTGGGGCTCCCTGCCTGAGGGGGCTGCCCCGGCCCGGAAGGCAGCTGTTGAGGGTCGGAGGCCGGCTGACTGCGTGTGTGGCGCCCGCTCGGGGTGTGGGCACCAGGGAACACGTCTGCCCTGGGTTTCAGCAAGACCAGACGCACGGCCTGAAGGAGTCTGTGTGGCCAGGCTGTCTCGTGAGCCTTTTTTTTTTTTTTTTAACAAAAATGAACGCTTAGCAGCAGCTTTGAAAAGGACTGGGAGAACTCAGCGGAGTAGGGGCGGGGGTGCGGGTGAGGATGGCGCTCCGCGCTCAGAACACTCTGGACAGCAAGTCCAGCAGACGCGCTCGCGTGGGGGAGGACGACACGTCCGAGGGAGCCCTGCGGCTTGTTCTCTGCGCTCTTTCCGAGGCCTGGATCGCGCGTAGGGGAAGGTCTGCGTGTGCAGCATGCGTGTGCAAGGCAGGCGGGACAGGAAAGAGAGGTCCTCAGTCTGAGAGCAGAGCGTGAAGCAGCTTCCTGCCCCCAGCCGGGCTCTGCCCAGCTCATCTGATTCCTAGTCATCCTAAAACACGCACTTTAAAGTTTATGTGCGTTTGTGTATAAACTGGCACGTAGACAACCATCCGTTATATACAAGTTTTTTTTTTAAGATTTATTTATTCATTTGAAAGGCAGAGTTTACAGAGAGAAGGCAGAGAGCTTCCGTCTTCCAGTTCACTCCCCAGAGAGCCGCAACAGCTGGAGCTGGGCTGGTCCAAGCCAGGGGCTTCTTCCTGGTGTCCTGTGTGGGCGCAGGGACTCAAGCACCTCGTCCGTCGTCTGCCACTTTCCCGTGCACATCAGCAGGGAGCAGGATCAGAAGTGGAGCAGCTGAGACTCGAACCTGTGTCCTCGCGGGATGCGGGCGGCAGCCTTGCCCACGAAGCCACAGCTCCGGCCCCTGTTTATTTCACCTTCACTCTTACGGATAGCCGCGCTGGATGCGGAGTTCCGGGCTGAAGGGCTTCACCCAGACTCTGCTCTGCGGCCCTTGGGCATCCCTGGTTTCCGGTGGAGAGCCACCGGTCCCTGGGCCCGTGCTACTTTTGGGGGATGTGTCATTTCGCTTTTGCCGCTCTCGAGATTTTCCTCTCTTTGTAGTTCCCTCTGTTTTTGGTTTGCTCTGTGTCTGTCCGCTTGGAGTTCATTGAGCTTCTTAAATCTAACTTGATTGAGCTTCATGAGTCTCAGATGTGAGCATTTTCAGCCATTATTCCTTCAAATCTTTTTCTGTCCCATTCTGTCTCTTCTTCTTCTGGGGTAGCAGTTAGACCTGTGGTAGACTAGATGTAGAAAGAGGAGGAGGCAGATCCTCCACCTACCGATTCACTCCCCAAATGGCTGCAATGGCCGGGGCTGGGCCAGGCTGAAGCCAGGGGCCCCACACTTCATTCACGTTTCCCACGCGGGGGGCAGGGGTCCAAGTGCTTGGGCCATCTTCTGCTCCTTTCCCAAGTGGATTGGAACTGGAGCAGCCAGGGCTGAACCCACGCTGCAGTATGGGAGGCCGGCATTGCAAGTGGCAGCGTGCCCGGCCGCGCCACAGACTGGCCACTAGGCAGGCCTGTCGGTGTTGTCCCGCAGGCTTGAGGTGCTGGGTTGTCCTCCCGCCCGGTCTTCAGGTCAGGTCGCTCCTGTTTTCACCTCGGTGCTGTTCAGCTCATCCAGTGAGTTTTCTGTTTTAATCTCGTGTATTTTAAAACCCTAGTTGACTCCCTTGCAGTTTGTGTCCCTGCCAGGGCTCCCTGTGCATTGATCCATTCCTTCCATTCCTGCCTCATCCTTATGCCCTGAGCGTAACTGCAGAAGCTGCCCAAATCCCTGACTTGCTGACTGCAGCATCTGGGTTGTCTTGAGCCGCTGGAGACGGCTTTCTTCTTAAAGATGGTGGCATCTTCCTGCGGCTCCACCTGTTGAATGATCTGGGTTTGAACTTGGATCAGCGTGAGTATTTAACGTGGAAACTCTGGACTCTGCTTTACTTTCCTGAAGTTTTTGGGGCAGGCAGCTGTTATTTTTGTTGTTCCATTTTTGCCCTGGTCAGCAATTAGCTTGATTGAACGAAAACCGCAAGGTCTGTCTGTGGGGCAGCCACCGCGTCCTGGCTTGGTCACTCAGTCCTTAGTGGGGCTGCTTAGTGTCCGTCCCAGGCCTGCAGGGTCAGAGGTCAGCCAGGGATTCGGGCAGTTTTTGTACAGAATTGGGGTTCTCCCCCCTCCCGGCATAGGGCCGTGATCGTCCCGTCTGTTCCCCACTGACGCACTTGACAGCGGCCTCCCCCAGGCTGAAGCACAGACTGGGAAACACCTAGCTCCTCTCCACGCGCCACCCTCCTCCACCGCTGGCCTGCTCGCCGTCCTTCCACGTTGCCCTGGAGCGGTCACTGTTTACTTTGTCCAGAGGTTATAGTGATTTTCTCCAGAGAGCCAGTCCAGTGTGACAGACCCAGTCAGTGGAGCAAAAACATCAGGACAGAGGTGAGCGTAGCAGCGCGGTGGGTGCAGCCGCCTCCCGGGACCCTGGCATCCCACGTCAGCCCTGGTTCCCACCCAGCTCTCTGCTGTGGCCTGGGAAGGCAGTGGGGGATGAACAAAGTGCTCGGGCGCCGCACCCGCAGGGGAGACCGATGGAATTCCTGGCTGCCGGTTTCAGCCTGGTCCTGCCCCAGCTGTTTTGGCCATTTGGAAGCGAGTCAGGATGGACGCGCTCCCTCCCTCCCTCCCTCCCTCTCCCCTCCCTCCCTCCCTCCCTCTCTTCCTCTCCCCTCCCTCCCTCCCTCTCCCCCTCCCTCTCCCCTCCCTCCCTCCCTCCTTCCCTCCCTCCCTCTGTCACTCTGCCTTTCAAATAAATTAATAAATAAATTTTTTAAAAAGTCAAAACAGTAAGAGTTTATTCAGGTGTATATACACGGTATCTTCAGGAAATTCATGCAAAATGTGCATTATCTTTTCGTTCCATTTTTCCCTGAACTGTTTGAAGTCCCCTCATATTTGTCAAAGCTCAGTGAATGTTCACTGAATGTAAATTTTCCCTCAAAAGAAAAAAATAGCGTTGAGTTATAGGTACATACATGCGTGCTGATTATTTAAGGGAGATAAAGTCATATCTGCAGCTTACTTCTCCATGTCAGAAAAAATAGGTAAATTGATGGCTGAAGAGAGAAACAGTTATGTACGCAGACAAGTGAGAAAGCCAGCACAGTACAATGTTAATCGGGAACCCAGGTGGCCTTGGACACACTTTGCTGTGTCTGAGAAGTTTCACAGTACAATATTAATAAGAAAAAGTGAAAGAAAGGTTTGTAGTTCAGTGTGCACAGACTCACTGGAAGGCAGCTAGTGGAGCCCGCGTTGGCACCTGCTGTTATAAATGGACCAGAGAAAAGGGCTGTGAGCACATTCGTTCTCAGTGTCTTGACAATGACTGTAGCACAGCGCTGTGACAGGAATAAACACATTCCCTGCGTCTAATGAGGGCAACCACGCGGGGCGGGCGCTCGGTGCAGCACGTGGGCGCCCGGGCCCCACTGCAGCACGGGGTCACGGCCAGCTTCTTGTCAGCGCGGACCCTGGGAGGCAGCGCTCCTGGCTCAGGAACTGGGCCCCCGCAGCCCACGCGGGAGACGCGATTGCGTTCTGCCTCCTCCTGGCTTCAGCCTGGCCCAGGAGGAGACACTTAGGGAGCAGACCCCTGGAAGGCTGATCTCTGCCTGTCTCCCTCCATCCGTCTCCGCGTTTCAAATAAAATGAATAAAAATATTAAAAACAGATACACAGTTGGACCTCCATACCTACATCCGTGGACTCCACCAGCCACAGACTGAAACATCCAGAAGAAAATGTTCCGTCTGTACTGTCGCTGCTTCCCAAACAGTAACGTGTAATACCTGGTACGTAGCAATAACGTGTAATACCTAGTACGTAGCAATGACGTGTAATACCTGGTACGTGACAATAACGTGTAATACCTGGTACGTAGAAATAACGTGTAATACCTGATACGTAACAATGACGTGTAATACCTGATACGTAACAATGACGTGTAATACCTGGTACGTAGCAATAACATGTAATACCTAGTACGTAGCAATAACGTGTAATACCTGGTACATAGCAATGACGTGTAATACCTGATACGTAACAATGACGTGTAATACCTAGTACGTAGCAATAACGTGTAATACCTGGTACATAGCAATGACGTGTAATACCTGGTACGTAACAATGACGTGTAATACCTAGTACGTAGCAATAACGTGTAATACCTAGTACGTAACAATGACGTGTAATACCTAGTACGTAACAATAACGTGTAATACCTGGTACGTAGCAATAATGTGTAATACCTAGTACGTAGCATTTTTATTGTGTTCGGTATTTTAAGCAATCGAGAGATGATTTACAGTGCGCAGGATGCACGTAGCTGTTACGCATGTACTTCGCCATTTCCTAGAAAGGAATTGAACCTCTGTGGGCTTTAGTACCTGCGAGGGGTCCTGGTACCAGTCCCCCGAGGATGCGAGGGGGCACTGTACAAATAATTGAATGTGGGTGATAACGCATCCCCTAAGGGATTCTGCACCGTTCAGGAGAGGGCAGGCATGCCGTGGGGGCTGCACAGAAGAACCCAGGTCAGAGCTCCAGCGGGGAGAGCTTCACAGGTCGGGTCGGGGACGAGGCGTGGGCTTATTCAGTAGCAGGAGAGCCTGTGTGTTGGCCAGGGTGGGAGAAGGAGTGCGCTAGCATTCCACTGTTATGGGGACCCAGGCATGCAGGCAGCCCAGGTGGGAGCCTGCCCCCCCTCAGTGTGAGGCACACCCCAGGCACACCCCTGGGTGGGGGCCCGGCCCAGCCTTAGAGGAGCTAGGCTGGAGGGCCTCCACATCCAATCCAGCGTTCTGTGACCCCTTGGCTGCTTCAAAGGTTGCTGTTCAAACAGACTCAATATTTCTTTTTGCAGTGCTGTTTTGTGTTAGCATCTCGTTTTTCGTAAGTCTGGATTATGCTGTTGAAATATTACCAATGATGTCGCGCTTCGCAGCACTGGAAAATCTCAAGCCTTTCCACTTTCACACTCTGAAAAAATGACCGACTGTGTTGTCAGTTAAAGGGGGTCGCAGGGGAGAGCTTCGAGGGGGCCCAGTAGTGGCGCACCTGTTGCAGGCGAGTCTGAGTGCTGACCGTTCTAACGCCCACATTCGAGGAAGTGGGACCTTCAAATTGTGTGGGACTGTTGAGCCTCTCTTCTTTGAAAAGAGAGTCTTTCCCTGTGAGTTTTTACTCACGTGTCCACTGTCGTGGAGGGAATAGCTGTCCTTAATCTTTGTCCCAGAGGCCCCAAGCAGTGAGTTGAGCCCTTGGGTGAGGGCTGAGAAGCTCACTTCGTCTCCTCCGGTCTGGGTAGACGTCTGCTGTCGGCGTGAGCAGGAGGCTGGAGGCACTGTGTCTTCTCAGACCGCGGGTGAGGCATGACTGACAGCCTTGGGAGACAAGCAGGAAGGGGCGGCCAGGCCACCGCACTCCCGCGAGCCAGTTGGCCATCAGCTCGTGTTTGGTGGCGCTGACTTGGGTCGAGCCTGCCCCAGCACCGCGTTCGCGGAAGAGTCTGTGGTGGAGAAAGCGTTTCTTCCCCTCCGTTCACTTCTCTTCTCTTCAGGGGAGACACCGCGCCTGCCCACAGAAAAGCCACCTGAACACAGCGTCCCACCTCCCTCGGTCCCGGGTGTTCGCTCCCGGAGGGCTGGGCAGACAGGCAGCTGCACGTTACTGGAGGAAGGAGTGCAGAGTGGTTTCAGGAGCACCGGGGTCTTTGCAAGGAGCGCCGCAGAGGGGGGGCCTGGGGGGCGTGCCTGGGCGCAGGCCCCGCCTCTGCCCACGCTGGCTGAGCTGTGCGCTTTCTGGCCACCAGCAGACGGCAGCTCTGGAGCCCCGCCTCCCGTCCAGGTGAGGACAGTGTGTGTGAGAGCCGTGTGAAACTGCTGCCTCACAGGTGAGTAAAGTTCACGTACTAGCAGTGTCGTGTGGCTGAGCCTGGCAACGGCAGCAGCAGTGTTGGTTACCGTTCCTGTTCTCTGCCGAGTGTTTCCTGTAAGCCCCGTGCTGCGGGCGTTTACACACACACACCTCTCCCACCCCAGCTTCATTAACCACGTTACTCATTGCTGGTTTTACCTGCATTTGGTCTTTCGAGAAATATTTACCAAGCACCGGATGTGTGCAGAACAACAGCAGTAGTTAGTAGGACAGAATTCCTGTCCTCATAGGCCCTCCTGTCTAATGGGAAGGGCGGATGATACCAAGTAAACCAAAACGTTGATGGAGTATAGATGGTGGCGGTTGAGGGAAGCAGTGCCCGGGGAACAGTGAGGAGCCGCGTGGATGCGGAGCTGCCGCCCGTGACTGAGCCGTGACTGTTCCGTGGGCTCGGCCAACCACAGTGCCTCCTCTGGGGGTGACGCTGAGAAACTGGGAGGTGTGGCCTCGAGACGCACTGCGGTGGCAAGCGAGCCCTGAGACGGGCGCGAGAGGAGGACCAGAGGGAGGCCAGGCCGGAAGCGAGGGGTCGGGGCCAAGTCCTGAGCAGTCTCCAGGTCTGGTCTCCGGCCACGGAGGCAGTCGTGTGGAACGTGGCCAAGTAGGGTTGTTCAAGGTGTGGATTCTGGAAGCACACTTCTTCCGTGTAGACGCCAGCTTTGCCATGCACTCTCTAAATAACCCTGGGTAAATTAACTCACAGGGAAAATGAGGGTGGGAGCCCGCGTGGTGCGGTGGGCTCGGCCACTGCTTGCGACACCAGCACCCCTGTGGGAGCGCCAGTTCGAGTCTAGGCTGTTCCACTTCCAGTCGAGTTCCCTGCCAATGTGCCGGGGCAGGAGTGGCAGATGGTGCAAACAGCTGGGCCCTTGCCACCAACGTCAGACCTGAGTGGAATCTGCGGCTCCTGGCTGTGGCCTGGGCCAGCCCTGGCCATTGCGGCCACTTGGGGAGTGAACCTCTCTCTGTCTCTCCTTCTCTCTCTGTTGCTCCGTTTTTCAAACAAGTAAATAAGTACATCCTTAAAGTGCGGGTAGTACAGATACAGACTTGAGCACGGAGAGGGCTCCTCTCAGCGCCCGCTCCAGCAGCACGAGCCCTGGGGATTTCTCTCAAAGGCGTGCGGGAACTCTTCTCTGGAGGATGGGTGGCGCGTGCGGCAGATCTGTCATCCGCATTGTGCCAGTGAGAAGACAGGTTCACGGGCTGAACGACCTGGCCCTGGTCCTCGAGCCAGGCGTGCCGCTGCCTCCCACGGGTGTGAGAACTGGCGCTGTTCGTGAGCCGTCGCATCGAATGGAACCTCCGCTTGGGACCAGGAGAAGGTGTCGCTGGCCTCGGCAGCCTGCTGGTGCCCGTGAGCAGGCGAGGGAGCGGGGGTGTGGCAGAGGTGTTACGTCGGGGAGACGAAGGAGCCCGGGGTGCGGTGGTGAGGCCGGGAAGGTGCAGCACCTGACGGGGAGGACCGCACAGCCCCTGTGGCGTCCTCAGGACCGGAACCGGCCGCCCTGCCCATCGGCTGCAAAGTGGGCTCGTGTGTTGGGACTCACGGGGCTCACTCTGACGGTGACGAGAAGGCCTAGCTGCTACCACCGTGAGGACTTGGAGGGGGAGGGAAGCGTGCCGATGAGCCCTATAGAAGCCTTGGAAAGTGCAGGAAAGTAGGACTGCAGGGCGCCACAGACACCGCGTAGCGAGGCCAGCGTCACTGCCTCCGGGGGATTTTTCCTGTCTTCTGTGTTTCTCCTGCACATGTCTGCGCGTGAATATCCTAGAGAACCATGGGAATTCGCTGCCTCTCTGGCTTCCTTGGCCACTGTTGGCACACCTTGAGAACTTCCCGAGCTGCTCAGAACCGCGAGAGGCCCTCCTGCGTGCCTGCAGAGAGCTCACGCGTGGCCACAGCACCCCTTTGTTTTAGAGGTTCCCCACAGGACACAGGCAGCTTGTCCCCAGTGTTTTCCTGTTGCCAGAGTGGCGCATGCGTTGTTCCAGGAGACACGCTTCTGTGGCTGGGGAGGGGGAGAGACGAAGTCCATCTCAGTGGACCCCTCTGTCTGCTCCCAGTAGCCCCGCAAAGCTAAAGCACCTAGCCCGGCCTCATTCTCTCTGAGAGAGAGACGCCCCCTGGGTTCCCGTGTCTGTAGGCTAAGGTACTGACACGTGCCTGGAGCCCTCCCGGGCCCGACAGCAGCGACGTGGCTGATGTTGATGGAGCATTCGCTGTGGGGGGCAAGCACTTCCCACCCACCCAAGGTTTCCCGTGCATTCCTCTCGTCCTGGGATCGGGGGCAGGGCTGCCCTGTGGAAGCAGCAGAGTGGACTCTAGAGCCACGGGGCCCGTGGTCACAGCTGCGGCTGCCCGCTGTGGAAGGTAGGGCGTGGCTGAAACAGGTGCGCTGCTGCCTCTGCTGCCCTGGGCCCAGGGCTTTGTGCTCCTGGTGGCAAGCTGGCCGCTGCGCGCCGAGGCCCCAGCTCTGACTGTCGGGAGGAGGGCGACGGAGAGAGGAGCGGAAAAGGACCGTGCCTGCATCAGAGGAGCAAAACCTTTTTCAAAACTCTCACCCTGCGTGCCATCGCCAGAGCTGTCCGCTCGCCCAGCAGCGGGGCAGGGAGAAGTCGGGGCAGGGAGAAGTCGCAGCGCAGCGGGGCCGTTGCCGTCCCTGAAGATCGGAGTTGTGGGGAGGGCGGCAGGGCAGCGAGCGCCGGGAGAGGAGCCGCCGTGTCTGCAGCAGCTTCCCCCCGGCTCAGGTTCCGCCCGCGGCAGTGTCTCGGTCCAGCTTTCCAGAGCCCACCTGCTTTGCCTCGGGATGGCAGCTCCCTGTGCCGACCCCCAGGGACGGGCACCTGGCCTCCACCGCGACCCCCTCCAGGCGGGGGACTTCGCTCCCTCCCTCCCCTTGGTCTGGTGTCTCAGCTCTGCCCCCGGCTCTGCTGGCCCCGAAGACAGGGTGTCTCAGGGCACTGCAGTCCGGCAGGGCCTGGCAGCGGGCCTCCCCCAGCACACACCGTGGCCGCCCCCTCCACAGAGGCCTGCAGCTGTGCTCCCAGAAGCCCCAGGAAGTGGCCCCCCTGGCGCTGAGCACCGTGGCAGCACTGCCCCTCAGTGGGCCTCGGTTGCTCAAGACTCCCTGAGATGGCGGGGGGCTCCTGGTTACCTGGCCGCTCGGGAGCCCAGCACACACCTGGGCCTGTGTGAGGGGCACAGGGGGAGTGTGCGCCCTGTGAAAAGACCGAGCAGTGGACCTGGCCAACAGAGAGCGCTGCGGGCCGCGCCCTCCACCCCGGCTGCCGCGAGGTAAGGGCCGGCGCGGGAATGTGTGTGCGCGGACTCTGAGGCCGTGACTCGCCAGGGAGCCCTCTGGGTGCTGTTATCACAGCTGTGAACCCTGAGGCGTGAGGCTGGCTCCGGGGCGTTGGGAGGGCGGGGCCCCTGGACGTGAGAGCTTGCATTCAGTGGGCCAGCCAGGGGACCTGGGGGACGGGAGAATAAGGCTCCTCTGTGTCAGGAGTGGCTGCCGGTTGTTTGTGTGATTCCGGATGGCAGCTGGATGGCCGCAGGGTCAGACACAAGACACCGTCACCCGGCTGTCCCAGCCCGTCCGGCCACACAGGCTCTGCCGCACGCCCGCCAGACTCCTCTCCGTCTGGATTGGAGGTGGCTTCGAAGCACCAGGCACGGGCCCAGTCTCCCGGGACAGAAGCCCAGCCGAGCCTCCTCCTGCCCCTGGCTCGCACGCTCTTCCCTGGCGGCGGCCGTGGGCAGGGTGCGGCCACGGTTTCTTCCGAGGCCACGTGCAGTTGCCCTGGCTGGTGCCCAGCCCGAGCCAGCCTTCACCGCCACGGTTGCCCGGTTGCCGGCTTCCTGGAGCAGCCCGCGTTGGGGCTGTGGTAGTTTAAGCATGAAGAAAGTGGGCGGCACTGCCTCCCTCGCAGGACCCAGGCCACGCGCGCTCCTGGTTCCGGGGCTCCTCCTGCGGCCTCCCGGGGTGGGGAGGCTGCGTGTGGACCTCCCCCACAGGAGGAGTGCCACGGAACAGCGCCGGCCGCACGGGCTGGCCTGGACTGTGTGACGTTGGTGTGTGCAGCAGGGAGGCCGGCTGGGTCTGGCTCTCGTGTTGTCTGTTTAGCTCTCCCTCCCTCTCGGGGAGGCCCTCCCTTGGCCTCTTCTCAGGCACACAGGAGAAGGAGGGGTGCGCCGTGTAGGGCCGCAGAGGAGAGGGCTCACCCTGTAGATGGAAGACCCGGGGCCTGGTCTCACCCAGGCCGAGGAACAAGCTCACGGTGTGGACGGCTGGCTCACAGGAGGTGGGGACCCACAGAGCGGGACAGGGGAGTGCCTCGCCAGCCCAGCTGCCCTGGCCAGCACCTGTGCGTACCAGATGCCCTGCTCGGCCCTGGGACTGGCACAGCCCGCCCGGGCTTGGCGCTCAGCCTGGCTCCCTGCTCAGGTTCCTTTTTATAGAGAAACCAAGTCTGTGGCCTGAGTCCCTCCCATGCACGTGTCCAGAACACATCTCCCCTGCTGCTTCCTCTCTGACGGGGAAGCCATCCTGCCGGTCCTCGCGTGTCAGACGCAGCGTACGGCGGGCTCCTGGCTAGACCTCCCCGTCATCACCCTGCACATCTTCTCTGCGTAATTTGCCAAAACACAATGCAGTCTAATCACCTGCCCCGTTCAGAAGCTGTCAGCGCCTCCTCGCCGCCTACGGGAAGCAGAAGGTGGGAGAGCCTTCCTCTGTGGCTCGGCCCCACCTGCCTCTCCGATGCGTCTGTTCCACCATGTTCTGCCCCCATCTCCAAGCGCAGGACCTCAGGAAGCACGCAGCAACGCCGTGAATGATAAAGAATTAGAGGGCTGTTCCGGGTGCTGCTAACCTTGCACGTACAGGGCCATCCTGCTAAGGTGTGTGTAGGGGAGTCATCGCTGGTGGGGTTTCCACGCCTTCCGCACCGCAGCCTGTCGCCAGCCGTACGTCATCGAGGGGCGGGGTTTATAGAGCACATCAAGGAAATCGGGCCGCCAGTAACATTTTGATCTTTCATTTTGCATTTGCAGCTCAGATAATGCCTACCGAAATGATCTCAATGATTTGTTCTTTTTTTAGCCAGCCTGCTCGCCAAATTTAAAAGGGCTTGGAAGAACATGTGACTTTTAAAATATCCTGGAGTATTTTTCCAGGCCTGGGCACCTCATGGGTCAATGCACAGCTATTTCTGTGTGCAAGGAGGGTGAGCGGGCACGGCCTCTCCACTGAAGGCCGGGGCCGGGCGTCTGCACTGGGCAGTGGGAGGAGCTGAGGCCCGGCTGCTCTTCACTGCGGCCGCAGACCCGTCTCCAGACCCACTGTGTCTGTGTCTGTGCCTACACCTGCCCCATGCAGGCGTCTTTCCCTAAGCTGTGCTCCCCTTAACGTGAGACCCTGGACTCCCGGGTCAGCGGGGTGTGAGCAGGGTGGGCCTTTGGGGAGTGTCAGGGGGCCGTGTAGACTGCTCTGTGGAGGGGTCACTTCGGAATCTCTTCCTTGAGGGAAGTGATCAAACTCCACCTGATGTGAAGGCCTGCTGATTGCTGAGGTGTGAGTCATGCCACAGGAATCCTCAGATCCCAGGCAGAGGGAGGGCAGCCCGGATCGCGTTCCAGAGTTAGCTCTGCCACTCACCTGGGCTCTGAGGCCAAGCCGTCCCCGGGGGCACAGCACCTTGCAGGGCAGGAGGCGGGGGTGGCCCTTGCCCGGCCGAATTCCCTGGACGCTGACCAGTAGGAACCGGGTGAATGGGCTCCGTGCTTCCTGGCTCCCTATTGTGTTCTGTGCCCCGGGGGACAGCGACAGGAGGCTGGGGGAAGGCTTAGTGCTGGCTCCACCCTGTGGCATCACCAGCAGTGTGGGCCCCCGGCACAGGGCGCTCTGTCTCAGGGTCTCCCACACTCCTTCTGACCTGGCAGTGGAAGTGAGCCGCTGTCCCTGGTCCCAGAGCACTGCACTGTGGACCCCTCTGTAAATGGCCCCCTTCTTGAACTCTCCTCCAATTACCCGTTTTGAGAGTGCCATCTGTTTCCTGCCAGACCCTGGCGGATAAGGTTCCTACGATCTTTCCAGCTCGAAAAAGAGGAGGACTGCAGGCACGGAGGAGCCGACCTGCGGGCTCCCTGGATGGTTCTGGGGCCCTGGAGGGCGGGGCTGGAGCCGCTGGTGCCCCGCAGGCAGGAGGCGTGCTGCCACTGGGGTGCGGGGAGGTTGCTCCGCCACTCCCCTGCGTTCTGCCTGCATGGCTCCAGGCCAGTGGCTACGACAGACAGGTGGGACTGCTTGGTTCAGTGCAGAGCTAACGCGGGTTGCAGTCAAGAGCAGCTTTTACGGGGGTGGGGGTCACCCACAGGGCACTGAGCCAGGTGGGGTTGTTCTGCCTCCTCCTGCATCCTTCCCCACCCCTCCCCAAAACCTGCTCCCTGCCCTCTTCCTGGCCCCTGCAGTGCAGGGCCTACGTGGCTCCCAGGGCGTCAGTTTGAGGATCAAAGCCTGACCTGGAGACACCAGATTACAAACTCATGCCACCGGACGGCCAGCGCAGCCTTCTGACATCCCTGGAATTTGGATTCTGACCCTGAGGGTCTCGGCTGGCCGCGTACAGCCCTTCTGAGAGCAGCTGCTCTGAACAGGGCTACAGGAGTGTGACCACCAGCACAGCGGTGTTGAAATGCACACATTCCCAGTGTTACACTCCAGGATGAGGGCACACCTTCCCAGTGTTACACTCAGGATGAGGTGCACACCTTCCCAGTGTTACACTCCAGGATGAGGGCACACCTTCCCAGTGTTACACTCCAGGATGAGGGCACACCTTCCCAGTGTTACACTCCAGGATGAGGTGCACACCTTCCCAGTGTTACACTCCAGGATGAGGGCACACCTTCCCAGTGTTACACTCCAGGATGAGGTGCCCACCTTCCCAGTGTTACACTCCAGGATGAGGTGCACACCTTCCCAGTGTTACACTCCAGGATGAGGGCTCACCTTCCCAGTGTTACACTCCAGGATGAGGTGCCCACCTTCCCAGTGTTACACTCCAGGATGAGGGCACACCTTCCCAGTGTTACACTCCAGGATGAGGTGCACACCTTCCCAGTGTTACACTCCAGGATGAGGTGCACACCTTCCCAGTGTTACACTCCAGGATGAGGTGCTCACCTTCCCAGTGTTACACTCCAGGATGAGGGCACACCTTCCCAGTGTTACACTCCAGGATGAGGTGCTCACCTTCCCAGTGTTACACTCCAGGATGAGGTGCTCACCTTCCCAGTGTTACACTCCAGGATGAGGGCACACCTTCCCAGTGTTACACTCCAGGATGAGGGCACACCTTCCCAGTGTTACACTCCAGGATGAGGGCACACCTTCCCAGTGTTACACTCCAGGATGAGGGCTCACCTTCCCAGTGTTACACTCCAGGATGAGGGCACACCTTCCCAGTGTTACACTCCAGGATGAGGGCACACCTTCCCAGTGTTACACTCCAGGATGAGGTGCCCACCTTCCCAGTGTTACACTCCAGGATGAGGGCTCACCTTCCCAGTGTTACACTCCAGGATGAGGTGCCCACCTTCCCAGTGTTACACTCCAGGATGAGGTGCACACCTTCCCAGTGTTACACTCCAGGATGAGGGCACACCTTCCCAGTGTTACACTCCAGGATGAGGTGCTCACCTTCCCAGTGTTACACTCCAGGATGAGGTGCTCACCTTCCCAGTGTTACACTCCAGGATGAGGGCACACCTTCCCAGTGTTACACTCCAGGATGAGGTGCACACCTTCCCAGTGTTACACTCCAGGATGAGGGCTCACCTTCCCAGTGTTACACTCCAGGATGAGGTGCACACCTTCCCAGTGTTACACTCCAGGATGAGGGCACACCTTCCCAGTGTTACACTCCAGGATGAGGGCACACCTTCCCAGTGTTACACTCCAGGATGACGTGCTCACCTTCCCAGTGTTACACTCCAGGATGAGGGCACACCTTCCCAGTGTTACACTCCAGGATGAGGTGCCCACCTTCCCAGTGTTACACTCCAGGATGAGGAGACACCTTCCCAGTGTTACACTCCAGGATGAGGAGACACCTTCCCAGTGTTACACTCCAGGATGAGGTGCACACCTTCCCAGTGTTACACTCCAGGATGAGGAGACACCTTCCCAGTGTTACACTCCAGGATGAGGGCACACGTCCCCAGTGTTACACTCCAGGATGAGGTGCCCACCTTCCCAGTGTTACACTCCAGGATGAGGGCACACCTTCCCAGTGTTACACTCCAGGATGAGGGCTCACCTTCCCAGTGTTACACTCCAGGATGAGGTGCACACCTTCCCAGTGTCACACTCCAGGATGAGGGCACACCTTCCCAGTGTTACACTCCAGGATGAGGTGCTCACCTTCCCAGTGTTACACTCAGGATGAGGTGCTCACCTTCCCAGTGTTACACTCCAGGATGAGGTGCTCACCTTCCCAGTGTTACACTCCAGGATGAGGGCACACCTTCCCAGTGTTACACTCCAGGATGAGGGCACACCTTCCCAGTGTTACACTCCAGGATGAGGGCTCACCTTCCCAGTGTTACACTCCAGGATGAGGGCACACCTTCCCAGTGTTACACTCCAGGATGAGGTGCACACCTTCCCAGTGTTACACTCCAGGATGAGGGCACACCTTCCCAGTGTTACACTCCAGGATGAGGTGCACACCTTCCCAGTGTTACACTCCAGGATGAGGGCACACATTCCCAGTGTTACACTCCAGGATGAGGTGCACACCTTCCCAGTGTTACACTCCAGGATGAGGTGCACACCTTCCCAGTGTTACACTCCAGGATGAGGTGCCCACCTTCCCAGTGTTACACTCCAGGATGAGGTGCCCACCTTCCCAGTGTTACACTCCAGGATGAGGTGCACACCTTCCCAGTGTTACACTCCAGGATGAGGTGCCCACCTTCCCAGTGTTACACTCCAGGATGAGGGCACACATTCCCAGTGTTACACTCCAGGATGAGGTGCTCACCTTCCCAGTGTTACACTCCAGGATGAGGTGCCCACCTTCCCAGTGTTACACTCCAGGATGAGGTGCCCACCTTCCCAGTGTTACACTCCAGGATGAGGTGCACACCTTCCCAGTGTTACACTCCAGGATGAGGTGCCCACCTTCCCAGTGTTACACTCCAGGATGAGGGCACACCTTCCCAGTGTTACACTCCAGGATGAGGGCACACCTTCCCAGTGTTACACTCCAGGATGAGGTGCACACCTTCCCAGTGTTACACTCCAGGAGGAGGGCACACCTTCCCAGTGTTACACTCCAGGATGAGGTGCACACCTTCCCAGTGTTACACTCCAGGATGAGGGCACACCTTCCCAGTGTTACACTCCAGGATGAGGGCACACCTTCCCAGTGTTACACTCCAGGAGGAGGTGCACACCTTCCCAGTGTTACACTCCAGGATGAGGTGCTCACCTTCCCAGTGTTACACTCCAGGATGAGGGCACACCTTCCCAGTGTTACACTCCAGGATGAGGTGCACACCTTCCCAGTGTTACACTCCAGGATGAGGGCACACCTTCCCAGTGTTACACTCCAGGATGAGGTGCTCACCTTCCCAGTGTTACACTCCAGGATGAGGGCTCACCTTCCCAGTGTTACACTCCAGGATGAGGTGCACACCTTCCCAGTGTTACACTCCAGGATGAGGGCACACCTTCCCAGTGTTACACTCCAGGATGAGGGCACACCTTCCCAGTGTTACACTCCAGGATGAGGGCACACCTTCCCAGTGTTACACTCCAGGATGAGGTGCTCACCTTCCCAGTGTTACACTCCAGGATGAGGGCACACCTTCCCAGTGTTACACTCCAGGATGAGGTGCACACCTTCCCAGTGTTACACTCCAGGATGAGGGCACACCTTCCCAGTGTTACACTCCAGGATGAGGTGCACACCTTCCCAGTGTTACACTCCAGGATGAGGTGCACACATTCCCAGTGTTACACTCCAGGATGAGGGCACACCTTCCCAGTGTTACACTCAGGATGAGGTGCACACCTTCCCAGTGTTACACTCCAGGATGAGGGCTCACCTTCCCAGTGTTACACTCCAGGATGAGGTGCCCACCTTCCCAGTGTTACACTCCAGGATGAGGTGCACACCTTCCCAGTGTTACACTCCAGGATGAGGGCACACCTTCCCAGTGTCACACTCCAGGATGAGGGCTCACGTTCCCAGTGTTACACTCCAGGATGAGGGCACACCTTCCCAGTGTTACACTCCAGGATGAGGGCACACCTTCCCAGTGTTACACTCAGGATGAGGTGCTCACCTTCCCAGTGTTACACTGCAGGATGAGGGCTCACCTTCCCAGTGTTACACTCCAGGATGAGGGCACACCTTCCCAGTGTTACACTCCAGGAGGAGGTGCACACCTTCCCAGTTAGGCTCCCCGGGAGGCGTCTTGGCGTGCAAGAGTAACACATCGTCGAAATCTACAGGTTCAGTGCTGTTTCCGCTAAAGAACTTTAGTGCTGCTCACCTGACTGCTGACTTCATGTCAGCCCACGTGCGTGCAGTGCACACGCGTGATGTGTGGGGTGCATGGAGGGACAGGCCAGGCAGGGAGAAGACACCGTGGGAAATGCTCCCCGTGTGTGTTCACGTAGTCAGCCGCTGCGCACATGGCTGCGTGGGTGAACCTGGGGCACAGCACTCAGTGAGGAGAGCAAGAATGAGAGGCACAAACTCACGTTTCTACGAATTAAAAGTGGGTGCTGGGAAAAGCAGCGTAGTCCTGCCAACATAAGATCCACGTGGAGGCTGGTTACTGGGCTTCTCTCCTGCCGACACCAGCATCCCGTGTCAAAGCCTGGCTCAGTTCCCATCCAGCTCCCTGCCCAGGCTCCTGGGAAGGCAGCATCAGGTAGACCAGGTGCTCGGGCACCCATGTGCAAGACCAGAGTGGAGCTCCAGGCTCCGGGCTTTGGCTTGGCCCAGCCCCGACACAGCCTTCGGGGAGTAAGCCAGCATTTAGAAGATGTCCGTCTGTCTCTCCCCCTCCCCTTCTTTCTGTCTCTGATTCTGCCTTGCAGTTAAGCACACTGGGAAGTTTCCTGTGGGTGAAGGGAATGGGGGTGCCAGCAGGTGCCCGGAGCTGTCACGTGTGGGGAGGGCAGCCCTCTCTCCAGAGGGGGCCACATACTGTTACCAGTGAATGGCAGGGTCCTTGTCTTCACGCAAGAAAGAATTCAGGTGTGAGAGAGTAAGTAGAAAGCAAATAGCAAGGTTTATAGGGCAGGGACATTGTAAGAACGGACGGGCACCTCTCCAGACAGAACCTGAGATAGAGTGTCCAGTCGCTCAGACTCGGGGAGAGCGAGGTTACATGGTTGAGTGGGGAGTACACCTGGGCAGGCCAGGCGGGCGGTCAGCAGAGAGGCAGAGGGCTGAGCGCGCAGCTAGCTGAGGCCGGGGGTTTTTAAGGGGATGGGTCTCTGTCTTCACACAGTTCCTCCAGAAACAAAAGACTTTATGGGTATAAATACTAGAAACTCCTATCTGAGTTTTCCCCCTAAAGGTATCCGACAGGAGGAAGCCTGGCTGGCGTCGTCCAGGTTAGAGGAAGGATGGGCAGGACCCCCTGGGGATCAGGATCCGGAGCCGGGTATTTGAAATATGGATACTGGGCTGCACCCGGAAGGTCATCAGGCAGAAGGGGCGGGACCTGGCAGGTAGAAGGGGCAGGGACCCCCACCCGGGTAGAAGGGGGCAGGGCAGGATGCAGTACTGGCCTGCCCCGGAAGGTTGTGGGGATGACTTTGAGATGCACAGATGTCAACTCTTTAGGCCTTTGTCGCACACACGCAAGCTCATATCTGACTTCCTACCTGACAATAGCACCGCGGGCCGGGGCGTCCCAGACGCGGTCTCTTGCGTAACGGCCTCGCAGATCACGTCCGCTGTGGGGCACGCGCGCCCGCCCACCGGAGGCTGCATGAGACGTGCCTGAGCGGTGCCCCTCCTCTCTTTCTGGGGTGTTTCCCGCCTTCTGAACCAGTGCTGTCAGGGCCCCACGGCCACACCATCCACACGCCGCACGTTGCCAGCATCATCCTACTTCTTTCCTATGCTGCAGTGAACGGTGTCTCTCGTTTGGCCACCCGGACCCCGTCAGCGTCGTGGTCCACGGCTGGGTGGTGTTTTGTTGACTACAGAGCCCGACCTTACTAGCCGTGAGCCCTTGTGTGACGTTTGCACTGCCGCTTGCTTACCGCGCCAGGCCGGGGAGAGGAAGGCGCCGTGCGGCACGCGCCTGCTCGTGTGTGAAGCTGCACCCTCGGATCCACTCGCGAGTGGGGTCACCGAGCAGAGGCACACGCAGCAGCGTCCGTGGCCCCGGAGCAAATCGCTGACCTGTGTCCAGAAGCCGTGGCCACCCCTCGGCAGGTCAGCGTTTCTGCTTATATTACTGCCGGGGAGGCTCCGGGCTTTTCTTCTCGATATATATGTGAGCTTTACTTGATGTTGATAGTAAGTCTTTGTCACAATTGCTAAGTTATTTTGTTTGCTTTTTTTAAAAAAAGTTTATTCTTGTTATTTGAAATGCGGAGTGACGCAGAGAGGGAGCTACCTCGTGTGCTGGTTCCACGCCCAAGTACTGCAGGACCCGGCCAGGCCACGGCCAGGAGGCAGGAGCCGTCTGGGTCTCCCGCGTGGGGCGGGGGGCAGGGCCCCAAGCACCTGCAGCTGCCAGGCTCTCCGCGGGCCACGTCAGCAGGGACCTAGAGATTGGAAGCAGAGGAGGGCTTGATGCAGACGCTCGGGCTGGGCTGTGGTCGCCCCAAGCAGCGGCTTAACCCACCGTGCCGCCGTGCACACCCCTGTTTGCCCTTTGAACCACGTTTCTTCAAGGAAGTTGGTGCTGGTCCATCGTGTCTCTGTCCGTTCTGTTGGCTATATAGAAGTCAAGTTACCTTGCGGCTCGCTTCAAGAACGAAATTTCAGAGAAAGGCGTGCTTAAAAAAAGAAGAAAATGCATCAAACTGACTTCAGGTTGAGCTGCTTGGAGCCAGGTGTGGCTTCCTGCCCCTGGGACACCCTGGCTGGGCAAACCCTGACCGGCTCCGAGCCTGCCCCTGGGACACCCTGGCTGGGCAAACCCTGACCGGCTGCGAGCCTCCCGGGCTGCCTCTGTGCCGGGGGGCGCGGCCCTGGGATTCCGCCTGCCCTGGCTGGCTCCTCCCTCCCTCCCGGAGCTGGGACAGTGCAGCTGCTGTTCCGGGACCTGGTCGCCAGCTTCCTGTTTTTCCTGAGTGTGGTTCTGTGAGCAGCAGGAGGGAGGCCTGGGAGGCCGCTGAGTTCTCTGAGCCTCTGCAGCCGCACTGTGACCTTCGCACCGGGAACCCCGTGGGACCGGGGCGCCGTGCCGCGGGGTCCCACACCAGGCAGGGAGCGGAGTTCAGGCGCTGGACACAGGGCTCTGGTGCCACGAACCAACAGGAGCGGATGTTCGTGCATGCTGGTTGAACAAAGCGCACCTGTCACTCCTTCCTGTTCTCTTCACATTCCCAGCGGAGTGCTTCCCACAGGAGCGCTGGAGCCCAGCTCCCCCACCTGTCAGCTAAGGGGCTTCAGGCTTGAGTTCCCCACCCCCAGGGGGATGAGCGGGTACAGCCGCTGCCTGCAGGCCCGTGGGGAGTGCCGTGGTGGGGCTTCAGCCGCCCAGGACCCACACAGGCGCTGAGGCCTTTACCTGCTGACGCCCACACGAATCCAGAGTTATCAGTCTGGATCGCGTTCTTTGGGTCACAGACTGGGACATTGCATTTTAAAGGTAATTTTTCAAAGTGGGGCAGTGTGTGAAGATCCACGTTAGGAGTGTGTGAGGACTGGGTGCCTGGTGGGGGATCCCCACGTCCCATATTGAGGAGCCCAGCTCCAGGTGCCAGCTCGGCCTGCACTCCCAGCTTCCTGGGGTCGTGACCCAGGTTCCCGCCGCCCACCTGGGAGACCCAGATCAAGTTCCTGACCCCTGCTTCGTCCTGGCCTACCCGTGGCTGTGCAGTCGTTTGGGGGAGTGAACCAGAGGCTGGGAGACCTCCGTATTTCTGTCTTTTGTCTGTATCTGCCTGTGTGTGTGTGTGTGGGGGGGGGTGTGTGTCTTGTTTAAGAGAGTATCTCTGGGACGCGTTTCTAAAAGTTGTAGAATATTATAAAATAGATATTTTCTTTTTTAATCGTCCCGCATCGTTAAAATGTGGGGCGTATTCCAATGGAAATGCTGCTGGACCACGTGCTCTTTGTCCTTAACACCTGCGCCCACACGGTGGTGCCCGGACTTGGTGGGAGGCCACGCGTGCAGGTGGTCCCTGCTGCCGAGGGAGGGAGGCGACGGGCCACAGCTCTCCCGGAGGTGGGCGGCCCGGCTCGTGGCCAGCACGGGGAGCACTTGCCGTCTTGCAGCCCCTCAGCACCCTCGCTGCCTTCAGCACCCGTCTCCGGGAAGACTGACTTGGGTTGACGGCTGTGCTCAGGAAACCCAACAGAGGGTGAGCCCTGGATGTGGTTAGCGGTGTGGTCGGATGCCGGGCTGAGGGTGGTGCTGCCGGGTTTACCGCCTGGGGGAGATCATGGCGGGCCTGAGCCGGCGAGAGCTGGGAGAGGAGCCAGAGCAGGCCGGCGAGATCTGGGAGGGAAGCCCCGTGAGGGACGCAGAGCTGAGCAGCTGGAGCCGGGACGGCCGAGTGAGGGACAGGACGCTGCTTCACCCAGCGCGCAGAGCGGAGAGCCTAACTCCTCTGCACGCCCAGGGACAAGCGCCGTCGGCAAACCGCGTGGATTTGTTGGAGGAAAATGTTTGCTTTAGCATGTGAGTGGGTTTCCAGGACAGGTCTCAGATTCTGGGGAGGGCGGGATCGCCTGGAAGCTGTCGGCGCAGCCTCCTGATACGCACGTGAATCCAACCATCTTCCCTCGCTCGTCGATTACAGGGTGGCGTATTCATCTGTGACTTGACTTTAAAAGGAAAAAGATATTTATGTATTTATTTATTTGAAAGGCAGAAGGAGAGGGAGGCACACACAGAGAGAGCGCTTCCATCTGCTGGTTCTCTCCCCAGACGCCTACCACCGCCAGGTCTTCCCAGGAAGGGTAGCCGGGACCCGAGTGGCTGCTTAACCCCCAGCCCGCCCCTCGTCTGTGACCTTGAAACACCTTGAAGGAGAGGCCAGAGACCTCGCCTGCCTACATAGCCACCACGGTGGGTCCAGAAGTGCTGTGACCGTCCAGAGCGGGCCGGGCGGGCTGGCAGCC